GTAGTAGAGACTTTGTCATCGCAGATTACAACTATAGTAACGCCGTTGAACAAAACTGGTGTCAGACGCCTTCGAGTAAAACTCGCACTAATAGTACTTGCTCGATAATACTCGCTCGAAAAGTAACCACCGAATAGTGATCTGAATAGTAATCCGTAAAGTGATCAGTATAGAGAAATAGTATAGTGAATAGTATAGAGAATAGCGATCCGTATAATAATAGAGGATAGTGTAGAAATAGTGATCAATTAGACGCTACGCTAACTCCCATATATAAATTTCCTTTACCATCACGTGATCTACTTATTCAAAATGGAATCGCCCGTGTTTGCTCACTGGCGATCTATGTTCAAACTACAGTGTCGGCGGCGACACTTTACTCCTATACAACACTTTATTTACACGTTTGCAAAACAAATGTCATCGTTGTCAATGTTGTGTTGGTGTGTGGGGGTGCTGTTGTTTTTGCTGCTGTTATGACTTGCGTTTTTTCCTATCACAATAGTAGAGACTGACTTATTGTTCTTGTGGTTAGTATGAGTATTTGTTTAACAATCCAATCAACAGCTGATAATCAATATTTTTTAATTATTTTAATAATAGTTGGGGAGAATATTTTCCCAGTAATATTGTACATTAGCAGGCTTCGCTCGCTCGCTATCGCTTCGCAAAGTAATATATATTCACTACTTGAAATATTTGAAACAAAAATTTTAAATGAACATTTCATTCATAAATTGGCATTTTATAGTCAAGGAAAGTTTTACAAATAGATTCCAACTTGTTGAAGGCCAAGTAAAATGCAAATTTCAAACACTTTTCTGCACTATATAAGACAATATTCCTAAACAGAACAATTCTTGAATAAAAGAACTCTAATGATAGTTAATTAATGAAATATACTTTTTAAAAATCAATATGCAAATTAGTTAAACCTGAAAAGTGATATCACTTAGAAGTAGATAATATATAATACAGATACTGAGCTCTTAGCGTATGAATTGCTATAAAGTAGACTTGGGGCTTTTTTAACCCCAGAATTTCTAGAATGATTGTGCTCCAAATTCACATTCAAGCAGGATAACTTGTCTCTGGAACGCTTTCACAGTCGGAACGGCGACATTCAGCCATAGAAAAACAAGCATACGACATTGTATAATCTCTAAGGAAATGGCGCCATTTCAAATTAATGACGAATCAAAAGTTAGTGGCGTTTATGTTCAACAATAAAGTAACAAGTATAGTGAAAAACAAGAAAATAGCCGGGTGGCGGATGGAACTCGCCTATTTCTCGTTCGATGTCACATACAACCCCGGGAAACAAAACGCCGCGATTGACGCACTTTCAAGAATGTGCGGCGCCATAACTGCAAAGGTCTCCTTAAGCTACACAAAATCTATTTCACCCGAGCGTAACAAGAATGTTACATTTAACTTGAATTAGAAACCTACCTTTTTCCATGGAAGATGTAAAAGACACTATAAAGAACTGCCGGGTGTTCGCTGAACTAAAACTAAAATTTTATGGACCCAAAATGGGAATAGTAGTAAAAGCCACACAACCATATTTGAAGCTTGTCCTGGATTTCAAGGGACCACTTCCATCTAAAACTAAAAACAAATATCCATTAACAATAATAGATGAATACTTGTCCTTACCATTCATGATTCCCTGTCCTGATGTAACTGCAAAAATATTAATCCAGGCTCTCTGTTTCTTCTTCTCTGTCTTCGGGTTACCCACCTATATTAACTCAGACTGAGTGACAGCCTTTATGTCTGATCAGGTCAGACAGTTCCTACGTGAACAAGGAATAGCCTTGTCCTAGTAGGACTGCTCCATATAGCCCGCAGGGTAACGGTCAATGCGAGAGATATAATGGCGTGATTTGAAAAACTGTACAATTAGCAGTGGCCGACCACGGGTACACCATTGACTGTTGAGAAAGCTTACCCACCATGAGATCACTACTATGCATGTCGACGAACGCCACTTCCCACAAAAGATTCTTTTCGTTCCCAAGAAGATGCTCTACGAGCACTTCACTGTTATCATGGTTGTCACAACCAGGGACAGTGCTATTAAAACGCCACATACACCAGAGTAAGCAAGAACCACTAAATAGGTAGAATGAAACTGATAGACGCTGATCTGCCTTAATAGTAACCTGGTGGAAGGCAAGATACGGTCTCATTAAGGGACTTTGCCCGGCGTAAGGCGGAGGTGAATCAGAAACCTTCCAAGACCCCAGGATTCCAGTCCCTGACACTAACCGACGACTCCTAGCCCTAGATCTTCGTGGTATGAATCGAGCGATTGGTGGCACAAAAACGGGTCCGTCCTACCGACCCTGAGGGCGAACTAAATTATCAGATGAGAAGGCTGAAACGTAATAAAGTGAAACCCTCTGACACCGAATCTCAGGGAAACAATAGTTCTAAGACCTCCTCCGAACAAGAGTAAAAAAAAAACAAAAAAAAATAGAAACTACCGTGAAGACCACAAAGGATCCGCAAAATGCTCGGGCGTCTAAAGGATTTTCTCCCGTACGAATAAAACAATAACCGGGGGAGAATGTGATAATAATGAACCCATTCTACCAATTTCAATACTAACCACTCTGTATAAAAACCATCTAATCACTAATTTCGTTAATGAATAAAGCTTAAGCTTTAAGTTTCTTAAATGAAAAGACAACGGCGAATATCAACGTTCGCCATTGTCTTTTCATTAGTGAATTTTGTGGGTGGTATATTGGCCCGCAAATATATATTGAATGACGGAAGACAACAACAAACAAAACGAAGACTTGAGTAAAAATAAATATTGCCAAGTTTATTTTTGTTAAAAAAATACATAAACAAAATAATGTTAGCGTAAACAAGGTAAGCATTTTGCGCGGGATCGGACACAAAGCTTGTCTTAGCAGATCATGGCAGTGGAACAGATACTACAATTTGATCATAGTTTCTGAACCGCGGATTGCCTGGGTATTTGAATCCAAAATATATTTTTTTAAAATACACACATTATGTGACGTTGCAATTAGTTATTTTATGACATCAAACAGGTACAAAAAAGTTATAGATTAAACTCAAAAGTATTATTTAACTAAAAAAAAATCAACTAATATAGTATAAAAAAAATAAAATCCTATGAAATAAAAACTTATATTCTTAAATCATTGTTTATATGAGTGTTGTGTCTGAAACCTACCACCCCTCTTGAAGATGAACTTGTCTGCGTCTGTGAACAAAGACTTTAAATAGTGGCATGTCAGTTGACATGGGGAAAGACAGATAGAGCGAGAGGGTAAGACCTCCGAGTCTAGCTGAGTCGTGATACAGTCTTTGACGACAAAGCTTTGCCGAAGGGCAAGGTTTCGTCCGGGGAGGTAGACAGGGCCTGAACCCGTCTAGGGTGGGGTTCAAAGGCTATATTTTGGCCGAGCCTACGGGCTCGGAGATACCTTACATTAAACCGGCCTTTGTGCCACATTCAATCCTCGTGGGTGGATCGATAAATACTAAGACAGATAGACAGAGAAGTTCTTAGCTGAGCTAGTTATTGACTACTCAGGCGATTTCTGTACCTTTTTACCAACCTATTAAAACCCTTTTTATTGTTACGTGTTATTTGGCGTTTGTCTCTACTAACCCCAAATCAACATCATAACAATGAGGTTAAAAATAATTTATTTTTAAATATAGATATCAATATCTTGATTATTGCACTACTGGTGTTCCGTATTTCTTTTAATTTTCATTTTAAATTTTTCGCGCGCTTTTTAAGTAAGGGGTATGATTATACATTTTTTACTTTTTACCTTTGAACACACAGGTTACCGTACGTAAATAAACGTTATTTTCATTAAGTTTTAAATTAATTTTTTAAAATTCAGTGAATTAATGTTTAAATTTGCTAAATGATTTCAAAACACAACGAAGATAAATATTGGACTTTAAAGAGATTTTAAATTTGTTATTTATATTCTGTCTATAATGACAGTTCAATGAGTCGATGAGCGATAAAAAAAAAACCAAAAAACTTGTCAATATTTTAAAAATGCCTGAAAACTATATTTATATACGGAAATTATTTTTTTTAGTTTTAGGGAGGCTATTATCTTTCAAATAAAACCAAAAGTTCAAAGAAGGCATTTTTAAATTATTTAAAATGCGTTTTCTGTTTTTGCTTTTTTTCCTTTTTTAGAAAGTCCGTGTCGGTACCTAGTATAAATAAAGACTTTTTTAAAAAATATCAAATAAAACTTATAGAAAATTACAAAAAAAAAAAAAAAATTCTAAAATATATCAAAGAATTTTTTCTGTTACTTTAAATTTAATAAAATAAGAATAAGAAATATTAAAATACGGATATATTTTATTTTATTTTAATTTCAGACGAAGGTATCCCTATTGACTTTACTTCTGAGTTTCTGAATTTTCATTTTCTCAGTATTTATATTTCAAGATCATTAAAAAAAAAAGTTTAAACTTCAATATGTGATCCGCCTGAAGACACACAATTTGAAACTCATCAACAAAAAAAAAAAAAATGGAAATGAAAAAAAAGTGAGTGCAATCACAGGAAAAAAATTTTCTATAAAATTCCAAGACTTAAAAAAAGTATATATTCTCTTTTCGAAAAATTTTAAAATCGATGTCTTTTCTTTTATGACCCAAAAAAGTCATAAAAAGTATGGTGAAAAAAAAACGAGTATCTCCTAATTTTATTTTATTTTATTTAAAATATTGATATCAGAATTTATTCCATTTATTCTTCTTTCGATTAGCAAGGAAAAAAATTTGCCATAATTATTTTTTATTCAGGAGTCAAATTTGCGCGATGGAAATTGGAGATTGAAATAGATTTCTAATGAATCCAATTTTGTAAGTAATTTAAATAATTCCAAAAATTTCATGATTATTTCCCTTGTTTTACTAAAATATTGGACTCTTCTTTTTGGGAAGTGTGTAAAATATTCACAGGTGTTATGATGGCTGTGCACGATTCATTTCGTTTGTGAGTAAAACTATTAGCAACTTTTTAATGTTTTGCGATTATTTTTCTTGTTACTTTTTTAAAGATATAAATTTGTGATAAGCTTTAATAGTTTCTATTTATATGTGAACCGCATTTACAATATATGTTCTTTTGAAAATAGCTTTATTGTTATTCTTTTTTAATTAATGACGTGGTAAAAAAAAAGAAGCCAAACTCGACTTTTATTCACTGCTTTCACAATAATACATTAGTAACTAAATTCTATAATCTTGTGCTGAATCTATTTTTGTATTTGATCAAAGTCTTAAACTGAATGAAAATAAATGATAACCACGTGTTTTTTTAGTTTTACTCACCAAAAGAAAAAAAAAACACTTTTCTGTTATGAAGTTGCTTGTTTAAGTTACAAAAGAAAAAAATGATACAAAGTAACAAAATTAAAATACCTACCGAATAATCACTTGATATCTGATGTTTGAAACACTAAAGTTTATTTCATGAGTACGATCATTTTACAATTTGAAAGTTTTTGTTTTGTTGTTTTTTTTTGTTTTTTTTTTTTTCCAATTATCAACTTTTTAAAAAATTTTGTTGTCGATATCTGCAATCACGAGCTGATTATACTGATAGGAATAATAGTGATAGTCATATCTATATTTATGAATCACTGTATGAACAATTGTCAAATTAAAAGTCTTTTTTCCGGTTCAGTTTTAACTTTTAGTTTGGGTATTAAATGGGAAGATATTTACAATTGATGACAAGACAATGTATTCTCTAAAAAAACTAAGTGGCAGTAAGAAATGATAGTTCAGCTTTAGGCTTTAATTTAAGTTTTAGTTATCCTTAGTGCGGATTAATTGAAGAAAGTTGTTTCTTAGCGGACGCCAATAGTATCCATAAATATATTTTATTTTTATAAAAACAATTTTAAAAAGCCTTGGTTTTACTTTTATTATATTTTTTTTTTTTTATTTTACGATTCAGAGCAGATTTTCTGTAACTGGGGGTACTTGTTGACAAAAAAAAAAAACGTTTACGATTTAAAAATTCTCTGAGGACTTGTCTTTGTAACTAATTTAAGCTAGGTGCCTCTACCTACAGTCGTTAAAAATTGAGCATGCCATGATGAAAAAAATAAAAATAAAAAAAACAATGCTCCAGACGTAATAAAAACAAAGTTTTATCGTCACAATCTTTCTTTGTTATTATTAGGAAAGACCAAAGGACTTTTTATTATTAAATTATTATTTTTTTTTTACCCCTTTTTTTTTTTTTTTTTTAGAACTTTCGAAATTTTTGTTAAAAATTGTGTTTTCCTTGTGTCAGCAAGGGCACGAAAGGTTAGTATAGGAATTTTTTTTTTTCCGGTGAAAAACATTGATTTGGAAATTCTTGCAAAAATCAAATAATTCGTCTGATTTTAAAAGCAGAACTCTTTGGAGAATTTAAATAATCAATTTCTTTTTGTAAAACAGTACCCCCCTCCACACACACTTATCGAAAATCTGTTCTGAATCATAAAAGAAAAACTGCAATAAAACTAAAACATAATTAGAAAAGCTTTTAATTGCTTTTATATGGACACTGTTATGAATAATGAACTTTTACAAGAATTATTTTAATAGGAATAATTTATTAAGATATTTAAATTTCTGTATTGTAGGTGATATTAAGTAAAAAAAAAAAAAAAACTATATTTACTAATCATAAATGGAAAAGCTTAATACAATTCAGTGACCCACAATATTTTAAAAAGAATTGTGAATTTTTGTGTGTGTACATGTGTGTGTGTGTCTATATAAATGTGCTAATTTTTGTAAATATGGACATCCATACTCGACATTATCAGAAAATAACAGTGATAACTATAGTAAATTTAAAAGCAATGTACCTAAAATTCAATAAAACATTAAATTATAGAGAATATTTTCCTAAATTTATTGATAATTTTCCAACATTTCTTCAACAAGTATCTTTCTAAGTAATACTGTAAAGCCAAAGTACCAAAAATTCAATAAAATATTGGACTACTTAGAATATTTTCCTAAATTTGAAAATTTACTTTGTAGTTAAAAATTGTTGCTCATGTTATATTCCTCAAGTAATTTTTCCAGGTATGTCCACTGTGGAAAAAAAAAGAAACTTCTGTATGCCATAAAGCTGTCAACCTGTCAACACCTTAAATAAATGCAGGGTAGTCCAAAAGTCTTATCAGCCCCCCAACCCCCGAAGTAATGAAAACAAGTAATACAAAGCACATGTACTAGATTCAGTTTAATCACTTTCATTGATGCTGTCACACATTGAGAAGGTCTGTATGAACACCACCATTTTTGTGTCAGCTATCTGAAATAGAAAATTTTATTATGTAGCGGTGACAAGTCTTTTAGATATGGTTTCAGTAATATTAATCACCCTAATTCTGGACATGTTAGTAAAATCAGCAGAAGTTGAGTGTCGAGGTCCATTATAAGTGCTATTCAGAAATGTTTTATATATCTGGAAGCAATGTTGAGCAAAGTGAGTGAGTCAGAGCTGCTTGGCTGTTTTAAGGTGTGCATATGTCAATATACTATTTTGCCATTAATTTTGTTAGCTTTGACACTATGAAGTGGCATTGATAACAGTTGAGACTATGGAGAAAAAGATTATTGTGAAGATGACTCGGTCTACTAAGAAGTTTGTTCAGTGTGGCTTTTTATGAAGTTTCAAATGCATTACAACTCCCCTTCAGGGAATTAGCTGAGGAATAAAGTGGTAAGAAAAAGGGAGGCAATTCTGTATCTGGATTTGAAAGAACCTCAAGTGGCAAGAGCAGGAATTGAAATTCAAACAGGGAGAAAGTGGAAGGCATTGTAGGAGTAAATACAGCAGAGCAAAAGTTAAGACAGAAGGCTTTCATAGGAACAGTGGCAGTGGGCCAATCAGACCTAGGCTATAGAAAAAAAAAAGAAAAGATTGGAAACACTGTCTCCAATATGAAGTGAGAACAGGAGTGGAAGAATTTAAGAGCCAGCAAAATGGTGGCCTTAAGTCAGCAGGGGGCCTGGACAAAATGGGAAAACATAGAAAAAAAAAGGAAGATTTCCTGATCAGATCTCTGGTATCCTAATCCCAGTAATATAAGTCTCCTTGTGTAGGCAGTATATGACACATTACCACACCCAGCAAACCTCTACACATGGGAGAAGATTGGGTCTCCACTTTGTCTGTTGTGTCTGAAGAGAGGATCCCTCCAATACGTACTGAGTGGAGGCCTTACTCGTGGCCCCATCATAAATTTTAAGAACAATTGCAGAAATAGTCTTGAAGAATGTCCAGACAAATACATATGAACTTGTAAGTAATGGCGATTCTTCAGTATTTCCATCTTGGTCATATGTGCATTACCTCCTCGGCGAGTTACTCTGTTGGTTATTGAGGAGGAAAAAATAAAACATTAAGGAAAGAGGAGAATAAAAAGAACTGGAATTAAGGAGACAGAAGATGGTGATGGACATTACATTTTTTTAAGAGCAAAGTTGATTGGAAAGTAAGAAACCAGAAAAGAGTTCCACAAGCGAGAAGTGCGAGAGAAGAAACTGTTAGCACAGAACTTACTGTTACATGTTGCCATTTCAACTGTAAAATTATGAGACCTAGCTGCTAATCTAGTACTGCACTTTATATTATAAATAATATATATCAAAACAAGACTCTTAAAAAAAAAAGCAGCACTTCAAACAATGTCCAACATTTTGTTTTTATGCAGATATACTACTAGTAATAAAATTATATATTTGTTACTAATCAGTTTCTAATTCATTCTCTTCATATTCCACAAGTTGTTACCAATGGAGGTGAAAGGTCAAATATCAGCTGTTATCTCCTCGCTCAGCATACATAATTATATAACTCACAGATCACTCTTGCTTGAATTATTAGTACAAGTAAAGAATGATAGATTTTCTTATTTATTATAGTTAGAATTCTTGCTCAAAGAAATAAAATATAATTAAATTTGCTACAAGAAATATATTTCTTTTGACAGATGCTTTGAATTCTGGGAAGTTTGTGTGTACCTCTCACCACTCTGTTCACTATATTCTCATCATTCATTTTTTTCTGTTGGTTCCAATCCTGCATAGGAAGGACTGCAAAATACTTCACCTTCCCCAATTTATAAACAAAGCCACACAAATGCATGCTGTTTTTTTTTCCTAACCAATAAGATAGGTCACTTCTCCTCTGACTCAGTTCTGGTCTTGTCTTGAAGCCAGAACACTGTGATCAAGTGCTTGTCTGTATCCCCTTTTGTGTATTAACACTGTTGTAACCTAGGGAAGTTTACTGAATAGAATAATCACACAAAGGTTGGTAATGATTAATAATACTTAGGACATGAAAAACACATATAAGATTCACCAGTGGCTTGTAGAAGTAGTAGTCAACTGCTAGAAGTGAGTCAAGTGAATTCCACAATGAATCTCCAACTGCTGACTAAAAACAATATTTACTATTGTAAATATGTGAATGGAGACATACCCATTATCGTCTGTAGTGTAAATCAAAAAGTGTCAAAAATCCATATCCACAACTCAAAATGTGGAAGAGATCAAATGAGCCCTTATGACTGCATACGCAACAGATGCATTCAATGCGTTTGACCAATTCGTGACGCGACAACTTCAACAGGATGAAACAGTGGATGAATTTTTGGCAGAGTTACATCGCCTGGCTCAGCTAGTAGGAGGATTGCTTCTGGAACGTTGGATTGCATATGCATTTTTATCCGGTCTGCCACATGATAGACAGCTACTTTGGCCGTCATCTAGGATGGAGACTAAGACTGTGGAGCAGTTACTAACCCAGACTCGGGTTATCATGACTGATGACAAGGAGCATGAGAAATCGTTCACTGTATCTGCTCAACAAACGAGGAAGTTCTTTCCACTAACTCATGTAGAGGAGCTGTCATGTGCTATAGGTGCTCTGGTCCTAACCATATAGCCAGAGATTGTATGCAGGGCTGTTCATAGAGGACGGATAATTGAGCGTGAAGGACCCGCCATAAGATGAGATGTTTTAAATGCGACAAGATCAAGCATATATCATCAGAGTGCACATATCAGGGAAACCAGTCTTTTTCCCAAACAATTACAAAAATGGGAATTGCCTGCTGTAGAGGTATTTGCCAGTCGACAGAAATGTGCTGCTCTGGTGGATTCTGGGTGCTCACAGATGCTGGTGAGTAAAGCTGTATGCCATCTTTGGAGGCAGAAGGAGGTGAAAATATTAACAGTTGATGGGAGAACCTTGAAGTACTGTGGGTACAGCAAAATCAAGTTGGGCATTGGGCAGGCTTGTCCTGTGACTATTGAGGCCCTGATCATTTATAGATGATCATTGGGATATGATCTTATTCTCAGGATCGACACAACCAGGGAGCTCAGAGGCATGCACCTAACCAGATCAGGTGAAATACATTTTCCTGATGAAAGCCTAAGCCTGTGTGCTGCTATTTTTATTGACGAGCCTGACTTTAGTGTAACATTCGACAACAATAATAAGGTATGGACTGCCTCGTGGAAATAGCCAAGTGGTCACACCTGGTGAATTGAAAAATAAGGTGCAAGAATATACTGTGCTCTCCTATGCTCGGGATGCATACAAAAATGAACTTTTATTGGGGCAACAAAATGGATGGCTGTTGCGATATCCCGAAAAGGAGCTTGGCCCACCAAAGGGTTTGTTGCCTTTGATGTTGATTGTACAAGAGCACAAGCAGAAGGTCTGGCCAGTGTTTGACTATCACGAATTGAATCAATTTGTGGAGGCATTCAATGCTGATACAGACGTATGTGCAAAGAAGCTAAGAGAATGTCGATGACAAGGGGCCGATGTATCACTTTTGGACCTAAGGAAAGCCTAATTGCAAATCCATGTCGATAAGGCATTATAGCCCTTTCAGACTGGTTTCTAAGGGTCAGCGATTTTTTTTTTTTTTTTTTTTTTTTGCCTTACACGATTGAGTTTCGGGTTAAATGCAGCATGCTCATCATGAGAGCTATCATCGACACAGTAGTGAATCAAGATTAACAGTACCACATTGGAATACATTGATGACATTTTCAATAATGAAAAACTGGTTTCTGCAGTGCACATGTGGCAGCATCTCTCTAATTATGGGCTCATCTGTAAAGATCCAGAGTGATTGGTAGATGGAACCAAAATTTGGAGCCTGCAGGTCTGCGGGGAGGACGGCAATCTTCGGTGGAAATGGAGAAGTGAAATCCCAGATGTTCCAGAGCTCATCACCCATCAGAGCATCTTTTCCCTATGCAAGAAACTTGTGGGCCATTTCCTTGTGCGTGTCTGACTCAGAGTGGCAACTGCATTTATAAAGTGGCAGGCAACTGCAGTGACAAATAGATGGGATGATGAAGTCAAGAATGGCTCTCTCCGTTGCATGCTAACAAACTAGCCAAGGTATGCAAGATAGATCCCGTGAGAGGAGACTGGTGCGTTGATGGTAGTGAGATGAAGGTTTGGGTAGACACAAGTTCTGTGGCCACAGGAGTGGCACTGGAAGTGAATTGGGAGCATTGTGGAGGATGCTAGTTTGTTGTGTCTAGCTGAAGATGCTAAGCATATCAATTTGGCTAAGCTCAATGCAGCAATAAAAGGTGTAAATCTGGCCATTCACTGGTGGGCATCGGTGTTACATTTGGTTACGGATTTGACCTGCGTGCATCAATGGATATCTGACACCCTGACTGGGAAGGCACGGGTAAACACAAAGGCAGCTGGTGAGATGCTGGTAAGATGGCACTTAGAGACATTGCAAGCATTAGCGAAGGAATATACTTTGGATGTGACACTGGTGAAATCCTGTCTAAACCACACAAACTGCCTAACCCAGTGCCACGGAGGTGGTTGGATTTACATATGCACAGAGAAGAGCCACTGCTGAAAGGCTGCTTCATTGTGGAGTGTAGATTGAACAAGAACCAGGTGACCAATATACACCACCAAAGTGGCCACCTGGGTGTGAAGAAGGCCTTATACTTTGCCAGGTCTGTTGACTCATTAGTGTCTAGAAAATTTATTGAATCTGTTGTCAAAACCTGCAAAGCCTGCTGGTCAATTGATCCAGCACTGGTGCAATGGAAGAAAGGGACACTAGGTGTAAAATTAACTTGGAGTAGATTGGCAATGGACATTACCCACTACAGAGGCAGTCATTTTCTAATGCTCATTGGTTGCGGTCTTTCTTGGTTTGCAATATATCGGCTGCTGCATTGACAAGACTACACTAGTGTTATTTGTCAACTAGAATCAATTTTCTATGAGCGGGGCTTGCCAGCTGAAATATTGACACATAATGACACTGTTCACCTGTAAGAAATTTAAGAAACTTTTAAATAGCTGGCAGGTACATTTGAGATTCTGGTGCGCCCATGTACCAGCTGGGAATGGGATTGTAGAATGCTGTCATTGAAGTATCAAAACTATCGCAGCCAGAAAGCAATGTTCAGTGCCAGAGGTGGTCTATTGGCACAATGTCACTCCCAAGGACAGACTTTCAGCTTCCACAGCACCAGCCAACATGCTGCATAGGTACCACATCCGGGTACAAAACATCGATACCATGCCCTCTTTTACACCTCAAAACATTCAAGGAGCATACAAAGAAGGGGACATCGTCTGGGTAAAGTCTCCATACGGTAGATCCATGACCAAATTCAAAATGGGTTGTGTAACTCAAATAATTAGTCCACAGTCAGTGCAGATTGATGGAGCGCTGCGGCACATGAAGAATTTACAACCTTTTCTAGGATAATATCCGTCATCAGGCTCTGATACTGACACAGGAGAGTGAACAATGAGTGATTCCTCCTATACTAGTTCAGAGACCAATGCCAAAGCAGCTGATGACACTCCAGGCTGTAGTTCATCTGAGAATGAGACTCTCGTTGTTCCTCTTCAAAGGAGTACCTTACAGAAGAGACCTGCCCCAGGATGCATTAGCTGAGATCAGGGGGGCGTGTAGCGGTGACTTATCTTGGCGACCCAAAAGGGTCAGAGTCATATGTATGTTTTGCAGGGAAGTGTGGAGATGGCGAATTGGGAGCTTCGGATGGACAGTGAATCGGGCAGCACTTTGTGCTGATGGAAGTGGTGGTGTCGCTTGTAGCCATTTTTATTGGCTGGTTCTGATCACTCATTGGCTGGGTCAGATGCATAAAAGCATGGTATGCTCATTTAATGGGAGTATGCTTTTCACTTTGGACAGTGAGTGGCATATAAGAGATCGAGACAAGATGAGAAGTGTGGATTTGTTTTACCTAGTGAACCCACAGGACTCCTACTACTTTCCTCACCTTTCTTTTGCACAGTTTCAGTCATCATGCTGCTGACAGAAAGATGTCTACTACCAACTAAAAAATCAGGACGGTATAGCTTAATTTTTCAGTATTGATAAATAACAGTAGGTGAGCATATTCTAAATTAAACAAGTTGTGGGGAGGATGAATTAAAAAATTTGATAATTAGCAATAGAGAAGAGAAAATAGCAACAGAGATAAATGAGAGCAACGAAGACAACCAACAAAAAAACAAAATATATAACAAAAATAACAGTTAAACATTTACAAACAATCATGGCACAAGGCTTTCAAACTTACAAGAGAATCTTCAAATGTTTCTTTACATTTGACATTTTATAGACAAAACATGCCAACTTGATTTCAATGGTTTTTTAGGGACAACTACAGGCGACTCTGAAATAAGAAATGTAATATTTTCACCTGTATTTACTTTGATCTATCTTCTTTCTATATATTATATATATAGTTATTGGTTTGATCTTAAAAGTTCATAAACTTTCTTTTTAATTGCTTAACTTCCAAATTAGCATAGTTAATAAGATGTAGAACATGTTTATTTTTGTTAGCTATTTTTTCTTATCTATTGCTTAAAATTTCTTGGTTACATCTGAGAATATACAAAAAGATTTATTTTAATATGACATATAATATCGAAATTTTATTTATTTACTTTTTGTTATATATCAATTTATTTTTTGCAGACATATCACCTCTGAGAAATTTATCATTGAAGCTCAGGATAGTGGGACTCATGAAGTTTTAGTAATTGATCGTGTCACTCAGGAGATAAATCTTCAAAGTAAGTATACTAGTCATTAATATTTTTTTTTGCAGGTTTCCATTTCCTGAAAAAGTTGTTAATCTCTATGACATTCTGGAAATATAATTCCATGGTAAGCTATTTGCTAAACTCACATTTCTATTACAAGTGTGATTTGTTAAACTCTTAATTGCAATCCTTCTATTAACAAGAATTTGTGCATACATTTTCATTTTTTTCTTTTTTCTTTTTTTTTAATGGAGGCATTACTACTATATTGTTGGTTTTATTCACATTTACACTGTACTTAAGCAATTTATTAATTTTAGTTTAAAATTTTAAAGCTATAAAATCTTTGAAAGCAAAGGCAATGATTTAAATATAACAATAAAAATTGATTTTCATGGCTTTTTGTATACTAGTACATCAATGTTATTAATTTACATTTGATTATTTGTGTAAGTACCTGTGTATTTATATGAGAAAGGTATGAATCCACTCCTTCTTCCTCCAACCAAAGCTATGGCTTAAATAGTAGGGTAGGCAGAGTTCTTCAGCCTTGGTTGGCAAGCAACCTAAGAGAACAATTGTGAATTAACTGTGTTGGACATGGAGCTAGCAACTTCATTCCATAAAAACATTTGCTACAGAAACCACAGCATCAATATGTAGTGTGTTGAGAGCTGTGAACCCATGTATACATTATTATTAAATATAATATACATATTTTTTTTTTTTTTTAGTTGGAAATGTTCTACCTGAAGCCGCTGTAGTTAAACCTATTCATGGTATTTTGGGAATCATTAGATTATTAGCAGGTGAGTTTCTTTTATCTTAAATATGAAATGTACTTTTTAATTTGTTTGTTGTTGCTTCTGTTGTAGAAAGCTGAGCATTTTAAGATTTGTAAATACCTTCTGAATTAGAATGTCTAACAGTATCTATCTGTATCTATCTATCTATCTATAACTATATCTATCTATATATATATATATATATATATATATATATATATATATATATATATAAACATTTATTAAACAATGACTAAAATTTTGTTGTACAACTCTTAGTAGTATTCTAATCTTGTCAATAAGGCAAAGAACTAACACTTACCTACCACTGTTTCCATATTCAGGATATATCATAAATCCCAAATTAATCATTTCCTACATATATCTGCATAAATGTGGTGGTTCATGATTATCTTGTTTGTGATGACTATCTCCTTGGTTCCACTATACTTGGGTAGAGGAACATAAGGCCTATGCATGGTCGTAGTTCCTTTTGAATACAAGTATACTATTTGTGTATTCCTGTTTTGTCAGGGTTACTGGGTTTCCCTCTTGACATTTCTTAATTTGAAGCTCCAAGGTAGGTTGGAGCAAGAATCCAGAGATTTCATTCATTTACTTGAGGAATATAATGGGAATGCTATTCTTATATAATTTTTAACTACCCAATAATCTAATGTTTTATTGAATTTTAGGTATGTCAGCTTTAAATTTACTATAGTTAGCACTCTTATTTTTCAATAATATCATGTTTGAATGTTTGTATTTACAAAAATTGACATGTTTATAAACACAAAAGTTCAAAATTCTTTTTAAAATACTGGGGTTGCTGAATTGTAGTAATCTTTTCCATTTATGAGTAAATATAGTTTTTACTTAATAACAATATCACCTCACTGCTACAAATTAGTACAGAATCTTAAGATTTAAAATTTAAAAAAAAAATGAGAATAATAATTGTAAAATATCATTATTCATTGAAAGAATTATTTTCTTAACACAATAGTGTTAATAATATAGCTTATTCATAAAAGCAATTAAAAGCTTCTCCAGTTAAATAATGTGTTGATTTTATTGAATTTTTTAACTTTGTAATTCAGAGTAGATTTTCTATAACTGGCATTGGGGGGATCCTCTTTTACAAAAAAGAATTGATGATTTAAATTCTCTAAGGCTATGTGCTTGTAACATATTAAGCAGTACAAAATGATTTTTTTTAAATTTCATAAAATTAAATAAGTGGATGGTAAGATATATAACCAAGATTTTCTATTAAAAAAAAAAAAAAAAAAAAAAAGAACATTTCTAAAATAATTTCATTCATTTGTGAATAAGTCCTGAAGTTTCATTAAAATCTGACAATTATTTGATTTTTGCAAGAATTCCCAAAGCCATGTGTCTTTCACCTAAAAAAGATGCTAAAATTTCCTATACTAATTTACGGTCACTTCATAACACAAGAAAACAATTATAAACCAAAATTTTGAAGGTTCTAAAAAGCATTAAAAACAAATATAAATTTAATAATTTGTTGGAAGAGAATGGTGAAGCCAGCCCTTAGCAATTGTATCCATCACTATTGTTTCAGGGGAGCTTAGCTGATTTCATCATCCCAGACCTGTTTCATGGTGGTGGCTCTGCATTTAATGAAGTCTGTCTGATAAGTTAGAAGCCATTGTTAAAGTGTAAGAAATAACAATTCAGAATTAATAAAGTTTACAATAAAAAAAAAAAAACAAAGATAAAACAGCAACAATCATGTAAGCAAGCAAACAATATAATTAAAGCAAATCAAAATTGATAAGACAGCAAAAGAATTCACAAACTAGGAGTTGGTGTTTGTGCACAAAATCAAGGTCGACCAAGCAAACAGTATGTCTGTCTAGTAGTTAAGGCAGATCTGGATTGAGTCATGTCAAAACAACAGCCATCCCATTTTACTGGCTAAGAAAAATATCCCAGCATGCATTCTGTGCCCTTCAAACAAGAGGGGGAAGGGGGAAACTTTGGCAGTCATTCCTATTTGGAAATCAACACTGTCACCACAGGAAGCCACCCACACAGGGAAGTACCCGACAAGTTTTCCACACATGGGAAGAGACATTTCTCAGTGTCATAATCAGTGGATCGTTCGCTATGTTGCTTCCGCACCACCACCTTAGTTTATCTTATATCTTTCAGTGCAAAATTCAATGAGCAGTGAAGAATATATATTCTTCATTGCTCATTGAATTTTGCACTGAAATCAGCTCCATCAACACGGTGCTGCACAAATAGGCATTCTCTCCTTGAACTTCATATCTCCAGAGCACATGATAGTTATAACTTAGTGCCTAAATCATGTCAATACCAAGCAATAAGCCAAAATGCAATGTTCTCTCATGCATTACCAGCATGTTGATTGTGGTAGTGTTGCTGGCTTCCATACAAATCCTAACAGTACCGATTCCACAATAAGTCCATATATCTCTGGTTATCGTGTCCTGATTTGACCTTCATGTCCTTGTTTGACCAGAACCAAGAGTTTTGTGCTCAGTATGAAATGTTAGCATCCAGCAAGGCTGAACATGGTTTTCTATTGACATAGACGACTGTGACAATTTACCAATGTGCCTTATTCACACCTTGCCTGGGTAAGAGACCAGCACTGATGTCTTGTCTCTGACCTTGTTTCCTGAACAATGTGGCTGATTTTGTTGCAGTGTTAGCAGACATTTGCCTCTTCTACAAGCAGTTCTTTGCAAAATGGTTGGGTCCATTACATCTATAGCAGGTGGACCTGCACTGGGTTAAATCTGTTTACTCTGGATGAGTTGCACAGTGGCTATGACTAATTCCTCACCTGGGTTCAAGCCAAGAGCTCTTCAAGAAGCACTGTATCTATGATCACAGTTGTCTCTTCATGGAGCCAGGAAGACGACATACAAAAGATGTAAACATACAACTTAACTCTTGTTCAAGCTTTCCACCAACTGGCCAATGATCATCCAAACCCCACGTTGCATTTCAATCCTCAATCCTATTGGTGCTCGCAGAAACCTGAAGAAGGATGTGATGCATGCTCACAAAGAATGTCACTTTGAGAAATAAGAACCCTGTTCCCCATATTATATATAAATGTTTTATTAAGTACTTTACATGCTTTTCCAATTGGGTAGATAGTTGATACTTGGGGTAACTTCTGCTATTTCAGCTACTCCCCTTACATACTCCTCATCCATTTACTCTTCCCAACATGGTGGCCAACAATACAAAATGGCAATTTCCAATACCAGACCAGAACTCCCTGATCACAAGCATGTCTGTTAATATAGACCAACACCTAGATATACTCTATTTCTGGTTTTGTTGGCACTTGATTGCCAAAAACCACCCATCCATCCCTAAGTGGATGCCACTTAAAAGACTGAACTTCAAAAGATACTATCTGCTGGTCCATCAAACAGAAGCACTTGAGATTGAGACAAAATCAATTCTGTCCCTTCTTTATAGGGGTCCATAGTATCACATCCCTGCCACACCATCTTGTCATTTATAAAATCTTTTTATAAATTACAAAAAACCACCAGCCCATAATCCCTGAAATGAAAATTAGCAACATCCAAGTTCACCATCTTTTAACATTTTTAGATATTGAGAAAATTATTCTCTTCATTCTCAGAGACCTGCACACATTTGGTCAGAATAATTTTTTTCCTTTAAATACTTTTCTCAGATCAAATTCTGACATTCAGATTGTATTTCCCTGAGATTCCCAGAATGCAACCACAGCCCTAACATGATTTTCATTAAAATTTGCTTTATAATCTTCATTGATCTCTTTCTAAAATCTTCACACATCAACATTTTGCCTCAAACACATTTTTGGCATTACAATCTCAATCCCTAATATTCTTTCCTATTACTTTTTCACCTGAACAAAATAAAAGGAATTCACTGATCATCACCCCCCTCTATATTCTCAGCTCAAAAACTGTACTATTTCTTTCTGTTAACATCTTCACTGTCAAAATAATTTTCGACAATTCTCCTCTGTTTCAGTTCCACTCATATGCACTGTAAAACCTTTGTGCAATTCTGTCACTTTAATTTGTGGCTCGTTCATCAGAGCCCCACAATCCACTTCACCAGTAATAAGCCACCTTATTACCAAAATATGACTTGCATTAATACTACAATATATGTTCTGATAATCTTCCCTAATTACTATTTCTTTCACAAGAAATAATTCACATCAATACTACCCAGTACCTCTGGTAATTCATTATCACCAATTTTTTACATCCATTGAGATCAATATTTCCACATCCCACTGGACAAATCTTCCAGTATTCCATTTTTATATTTCTTTCCTCACTTCACAGAAGCACCTCACCCCATTATAATTTTACAGGCTGACACATTACACCCTTCCCCAATGTTAAGGAGGGGGTGAGAGCTTGGTCAAGCAGGCAGGAAGCATTCAACACATGGTGGCCCAGATCTCCCTCTTGATACACAACCATATTGCTGGCCCGGAACTTCTCAATTAGCAATGACCATTCACCCAAACTGCCAGCTTAGAATTCCCTCTATGTGAATAACAAGCACTCACTAGATAGTGGCCCAGACTTCCTTTATGGCAGGCACCCACCAAATAGTAGCCCAGAAGTTCCTCTCAACAATCAGGCTTCACCCTGTAATGGGTGGTCCACAACTACCACCAATCCAATTGTTAAACCAAAACCAACTTTACCACAGTGCATCAAAGTTTGTATTCATCTAACAATCAATTGACAAGAAGGACACAATCTATCCCCTCATAAATTTACACAAAATCCCAAAGTATTAAAGACTGTAAGAATCACTTACCTAGGTGTTACCAAAATGTATATGTACTTTCTATAAAGCAAAACACATTACACCAATTTTTCATGAAAAATTAAGAAACTACCCAATTTAAATGAAACCTCAACATCAGAATAATCAAGAGTACTGGGTTCAGCCAAATCTTCAATGATATCAATTAGACATCAAAATAAAAA